ATAATTATGCATAACTCCCAGTTGTACAGGAGAGTGTATTAAGCGTTATATTTTTTCTTTAGTATCATTACTAAAAGTTTACTGCTTGTAATATTAGCATTTCAAGATCACTAATTTATCAAAAATTAAAAAGGTTTACGTGATTCACATTATTTATTAACAAACGTAGCTCTAATGTATTCCCCGTTTTTCTGCGCTGACAGTTTGTCTTGTAACAACACGATTTTGAATGCAACCTTTTAATGCAAAATAGAAATGTTGAATTTATTAATGAAGCAACCATCAAATGCAAGTTTTTAGGCAAAAAAACGTTCTTTTATAAAAAAACTGTCATGCAATTTGAGTGATAGTAATAAAAAGAGTGTCTTACTCTTGTTACAGGTAATTAGAGTATTGGTCCGAAGTTTCTGGGTCAATTATATGTTAATTTCTGAGAACGTTTTTAAAAATTTTTATTTATATTCTTTTTAAGTATTAGAATTTGTGTGCAATAACGTAACTAGCTAACAAATATATTTAAAATGTTTTTGATTGAATACTCAGGTGTTCGGAAGCGTATAACACATGGCATGAACGACTTTTGGTAAATACCACATCTTGCAATTTCAGGGATAGCTGTTATGCTTTGAAAGCTACAAAACAGTTAAAAAATGGAAAAAAATCTTTTTGTAATTATGTTTAAGTCCTAGCTACAGACAACAGTGTACCTTTTTGATTTCAGATCTACCGTTTTTATGAAGTTATTGGTTATTATACCAGACAGATGAACATAAATTTAATTTTTAAAAGGTTTATAAATCTGCTTATGTGAAATAAACAAAATATATTTTTTTTTATTTTTATTTTTGGCATTTTTTAAACCCTTCACGTTATTAAAGTCACACAACTAGCGCATAGTTCAAAATAGTAACCTTGTTTTGTGTTGTCCCGTATAATTTCGCTTCGCCGTTGGCATGTTTCGCGAATATATAGAAAAAGGAAAATCTTGGATGGATAAAATGTAAACCCCTATACTGCTTTCTAAGGTAATTTTATAGAGCATCGGCCGTTATGAATTACACGGAACTTGAAAACAAGGTTCGTGAGGCCACCAGCGACGAACCTTGGGGACCCCACGGAAAAATTCTTAACGATCTCGCTAGAGAAACGTATGATTACGAGGGCTTACTAGAAATAATGACTATGCTGTTGAACCGAATCTTTCCCGACAACCCATGTAATTGGCGTCGCACCTACAAGGTACGTAATTTCCACTTGAGAGACTGCACACAATCTTTCCAAGTCAACGTAAGACGTCATTTTGTGTCTAACCTTAATAAAGCTGTGCTTCAGACAACTTACAGTGTCAATTACACATTTTAAATGAAAAATATTTGTTCCCACGTCATCGTATTGTTCCTAATTCCGTTGTATTTCCCTTGGTCTCCATTTCTTGCACTTAAGTTTCTGATCATCATGAGTTTATGCATTTGCTTTATTGAATGCTTACAGGGGTTAATTGTTCTCGCACATTTATTACGTTACGGCTCTGAAAGGGTTTCGGACGTTGCCCGTGATCATTTATTCAATCTTCGTTCTTTGGAAACTTTCCAATGTATTGATGAACGGGGTCGTGACCTGGGGGCCTCAGGTATGTTTTTTTAATAACAAGCTTATTACTCTTATAGTGCGAATTAAAGCACACGAAGTTGTAGAACTCTTGCAAGATGCTGAGTTTCTCCAGGCGGAACGTCAAAAAGCTTTTTCTAATCAAAAGAATTATGATGGGATCGGAAATAATAACGCATTTGGATATGGATATTCGGGAAATTATGGGATGTATGTCATTATGCATAATCATCGTTTAATCATGAAATGAATTTTTTCTGCATTTTCCGGGTTTCTTTTGTGTTATATTTTTGTTGTGACTAGGAAAAATTGACCTTATTGAAGCTCACCTTGTCGTTTTTGTACCCCCCTCCCATCCGCTCCCTTTTACTCACGCGTGATCACGTGGCGCTTACTAATTTCGTGTGGCTGTTCTCGCTCCGCACTTAACCACGCATTCTAACCATCGATTAATTTACAAGACCTAACGATTACAAGGATGATAGGGATAATGATGGGACCTATCATTTTCCCTCGCGATCTCAACCGAAGGCTGAGATGCCTTGGCATAGCAGGGAGAATAGCGAGACTAGTCACAGATCTCCTCACCGCCTCGGTAGTTTTGAATCCTGGCAGGATGGCCGTGAACGCTCCATAGCCGACGATGTTGCGGATAAGTTCTCTGAGGTGCTAAGAGCAGCAAAATCTGTCACAAATGACTTTCTCGGCAGGCCTCGAGTTCCACCACCATCTGTGTAAGCGCGTATTTTGTATCATATTCGTATCACATGTGCTTCATATGCAATCCCCCTTGGCTACGAGGACAGGTATTTGTATGCCAAGTAGTAATTGAAAATCTTGTAGTTTATTTGGTGATGTTAAGAGGGTTTTGGGGTAGTCATGTCATAAAACTGAAAGGAAGCAGTCTGAGTGTACTCACAATCCCGTGAAAGTATAGCGAAGCCTTTAAATGTCTGAATGGAGTGGGATTTTTGTCGAGTTTTATTGGCTTTTTAGATTTCTTTTATGATCTCGCATTTAACTTTCTAAGGATGCTACTCCACTGTAACAACTTTTATCTTATAAAACACACTTGGTTAAAAATACCCATGGAAGCCACATAATTGAGTTTAAAATTTGTAGACAGTTGTTTAATTTGAACTAGTTTGCATGTTGCACTTCCCAAACTCCTGACTCCTTAAGATATTTACTTTTTCTGAACTTCGCAAAGTGGCAATTATGTAAGGGCATTTATATTATTAGTCCAACCTCACTGAGCTGACGTTCCATCGTATTGGGATACTGGGACCGTTACGTACGCACAATGGTGTCTAGACTCCCTGAAAGTAATTCAAAAGCCACTCAAGTGACGTGGATAAAACAAATCTCTGTGAAAGTCGACAGTGTTAGCAAGAATGGATCTGTTTGTAAATCGTAAACTGAATTAAGACATGCAGCCCGTGAGGCACACTTATTTTTGACAATCTCGGGCATGTAATCTAACTTTTCTTTTTCATCATGGGTTTATTAATCACTAGTTCAGCAATTGACTAAATGTATCTCTTTTTCAATCTAAAGACGTTGGCTACAAGTAGCCAGTTTTCACTTGGACGGAATCCAATAAAGACCATGATTGTTTGTCGTTTCTAGCCAGTTCCTATTGTCCATCACTTGAACCTTTGTGCCGGTTTTCCTATGACATTATCGTCATTCTTTACGGCACCACGCATCAATCTTATTTCGAGGACCTGAGCTTTTCAGCAACTTCTTCCATGCATCTGTATTCTCGTTCCCTGCCCTTAGCAAAAGTCGTATATTGTACTAACATCAGACATCAGCAACCTCTATCAAAATGCACACACACCCGTTTATCAAAATACACACATAAGATATTTAAACCAGTTATATCTGCTCACTATATATTCTTATATCGTTCCGTCATCAAATCCGATTTGCCTCGGTGGAAGTTTATTAGGTTCGAATTATATTGTCACTTTGCTTAAAATTTCTCACAACGCGACAGGGCTCGTGGTTTGTGCGTTGTTTTGTTTAAGGCGTTTCGATTTTGTGCAGTAGTCTGTATCAAATTCTTTGGTTTCCGTGCCGTTACTTATTAATCACCAATCTCGAGATGCACTCACTGCGACCTACGGTTGAGGTCTTGTGGCGTCTGGTCCGTAATCACTTCATGCTTCATAAGGGCTAGTTACAGACCACAATATAAATGTATTACGTCGTTTGCAGACTAGCAATTTTAAGCACTGAATGTAATTACCGTTTAGATGTGAAGCCATGACCTTGGTTACTTGTATGTGTGTGTGTGTGTGTGCGTGCGTGCGTGCGCACTTGCGTGACGCTCAGCTCTATTTTGCAAGGCCACGTCGTTACCTAGCGTAACTCGTGTTGGAGTCATCATAAACATGCCCAACCACGCTGAATTGTTGTACTTTGGACTTTGTATCAAGAGTTTGCCGTATTTGTCCCCTCGAACTCCTGATTAAACCAAGTCATAGTTACGTGAGGTGTACATGCATGCCTCGATTTGATGTAAGTAAATGGTCCACAGATTGAGGGCACGTGCTCCTTCGCTAGGTGCCACTTGTAGATTCGCCTCTTGAATGCGCGACTCCTTAGTTCATTTCAACGCTAAAGGAGCTCATTTTGTCTTCGTTATCCAAAGCGTCTTAAACTGTCACTAAGGCATTGTAATGTGCAAAAAAACAACAAGACGCATGGTTGGTATTTAAAGGACTACTTTACAAATTTGTTATGGGGTTAATTTTATACTATACAAAAGACCTCTTTTATTGTTTGAACTATGCAATAACATGCGGTCATGTACCTTGAGGTTACATAGTGGTTTAGCGCATGCCTTTGTTGAAGTACTTGCGCATGTTGCCTTGTGTCCAGATTTAAATCTGTTGCCTTTTAATGACTAATATTTCCCATAAATGTCTCATCCTATCCCTTTGGGCATTGTTTCTTCCAATACGTTGTCACCATTTTCCACTTTTGACGCTTCAGCCTCGCATTCTGTGTTTGTGCTGTTGCTAAGCTACCATTAAGGCCTGAGGCGTGCCCACATCATGTCCGACCGGTTACTGAGAACACCATCTTTCATAGCGTCCTCTCAAAAGTATTCAAAACTTTCTGTGGTAACCCTTTAGCGATCGCGTTAATGAGCAATGAAAAGTGATGCTTTCGTCGATGCACATCTATTAACTTAAGACTTAACCAGAAATCGGTACTAAGTTGGAACACTTGATGTGTTCTAAGTTGTAGGTTACTTCGAAAACTTATTTCCGAATTGCCATGTAATAGTTGTAGATTTGTTACCGATTGAAAAGGTATATTTCAGAAAGTTACGATGATCATGTGCAGCTATTGCTGCATTGTTTGAGCCACCTCAGCATGCTCCAGCGAGTATTCGAACGCATCAGCACAGTTGCAGCGTGGCATAACTCAAGGCTTTCATCAGTCCGCAAACATTAGGTCACTCATTGGCTTTGTTGTAACACAAATTAGATTTGCGTAACGATTGCAGGTCTTAGAAAGTAGCTGTGTTAAAATATTTATAACGCGATGAATTGGAAGTAAAGTGGCGCGTGTTTGCGTTGTTTTTATGCAGACTGAAAAGTTCGTTTGCCTTATTTATTGTCCCCTCTCTGTGCAAGAATAGCCGCCGAATTGGACCCTGCATTGCAATGAGGCGCGAATCATTGGAGATTTTGGGGGATCACTCTTATCCGTAGCGATAACGGGTACCGTACCTCACTACTGAATTGTTCTGAGTTTTGTGGCTTTTCTGCAGGTCGATACCGGTGTTAGCGTTCCTCTAGACGCCTCCTTTTGTATTAGTCCATGATCGGGCACTGCTTCGCATATTTGAGTTTGACCATGGGCATTTTCGCGTTTACTTGTCCCGACGCACCACTTAAAAGGGCCTAGTCTGGAGAATACGCCTAACGTTTTCATCATTTTTAGATACGAAGAAGACCCACACAAGGTGTCGGAGGAAGTGTTCAAATTTCCAGACGCACGTGTCGATAATTTGGGAGACGAAGATTCCAAATACCATATCAGTGAACCTGTTTCCCCTTTTACGAATCGGTTGCCAAGTCAGCAAGCAGTTGCATCCGCCAAATCTGAAGTCCCCGCTCCTGGTCGCCTGGTCGATCTTGGCGAACCCCAAAGAATTACAATGGCCAAGGCTCGTACCCACATTTTTGCTTATTTTATGGTTACTTTAATAATCAGTTTTACGTAGAATTCAAGAAGCGGTTGGGTAAAGATCTGTAGTATTAGATCTTTTGTCGACGTGCGTTCTCCTATAACGCTTCTTTGTGTGTTTACTAGTTCAAGTCGAATTGTGCAAGATTGACGCAACTGCCGCCTCCACTACGTATAGCGTTGCAGCCAGGAAAACCACGTACGAGTGTGTAAACCCAAGGTGCCAATCGCACCCAAACTAAATGGCTTAAATCGGCGTGAATAATGTAGCTTCACCTGGGTTGTTCAGTATTCGGCTTAGCACCGGTCATTATGAGGCAAGAAATGGGGAGTTTTGGGCAATTGAGATGAATCAAAGCAAGTATGCGGGACGCGTCAAATATTTGCCCAATAAATTGCCTATTGTAACAAACATCAACGTTTTGATACGGGTACCTTACTATTATAGAATCCCTCAGCACTGCCCAGGCCTCCCTCGGTAGAATTGATCTCTTCTTCCCCGAAAAACGGACACCATGGAGAAAATGACGATCTATTTGCGGAATTAGACAGCAGGCAAACCGGGTTGCCCGCAAACAAAGCCGAAGAGTAAGCTTTTTGCTTAGAATATTTCAGGTCAGGGACATATTTTTTTGTTCATTTTGATGACACTCAAGTTCAAGAGGCTAATGTCTGAAGGCCATCTGCTAATCCGGTAAGTGGTGTATGTCGTAGGTAAGGCATAAACGGCATTCGATGAGTTTTTTGGCCGCTCGTTTGCAGCCGCAACCACAAAACAAAGTGGCATCTAAACTCATGCCACGTCAAAGTCCTAGCTGAGTTGACGTTCCTGTGTCACTGTATCAGACATTTCTTTTCGTGAAATTCAGGAGTAAATTAGACTCTTCGTTCATCTAGAACGGGTGTCAAGAACACACTGAAAGCACAAATGGTTTGACATGTATCTAAATGTCAGTGACTTACAACAATGGCAATTATTTTGTGCTATCTAAAAGCAACATGTTAGGGGAAGGTGAGTGCCACTTCAGCTTTATAAATGTACAACTGACTGCACTCACGCTCCCTATTCCCGCTTTTGTTGCGGTCTTATAGAAATTCAAACATCCGCTATATCTCATGGCACTTATCGCTTATTCTTCTAATAAACCATTTTTTCAAGCCTTTTTGCCGATTTTGGCACAGCGAATGTGCCCGGTCGTGCTGACGCCGAACCTGCAATTTCGACGACTTACTGTGCTGGGGATGCTGATTTCGGCGACTTTTCGAGTTTTTCGGCCGCCACCACCGCTGCTCCAGTCAGCGTCAACACCTCCCTTCCAGCCAATAATTCTGTGGATCCCTTCTTCGCCAACTTTGCGTCGCCTCTCACTCCACATGCCACCATGACACCTGCCACTACATCCGCAGTACCGGTAACTCAACTAGCGTCTCGACAGCATTAAGGCAAATTGCATGTTTTCGAGAGACCCACCCCCTGAAGTCCTTGGCCTTAACCTCGATGTACCATAGACTCATCTAGATCGCGTCACCGTCTGAATCCCCAAACACAGAATCCCATTTTATATCTCATTGTGTACAAAGATATTGGGCTTTTAACTAGTATAAAAGAATAATGTGGTATTCGTGTAGGCGGCGCTTGTGTAAATTGCCCCATTTTTCCTATAGCCAAACTTCAAATAGCGATTGAGCACTTGTGGGAAAATGTTGGAGCATCACTGAAAGTTAGGAGATTTCCCTTTTTTGCGAATTTCATCCCGTCTTGTTCGTTCCATTAAAACACATTAGGTTGCTTTCTCAGTTTCGATGATAGGATTTAACTTTACGGTCGTTGTCAGAAAACGCTTTTGATTGAGCTTACAGTGTAGACTTCTGCAGACTTATATACCTTTTGGCCTTAAAGTATATATTTTTAACAGACGTTTGCGCCCCTAAATTTTTGCTTCTTTCTCCATTCGATTTAGCACTAATCACTACGTTTGCATGGTCGCAAGTGCATTTAGCAGAACCAAAATTAAAAACCAGTTTACCCGCAGCTTTTCACTAAACACACGTTGCTACACTTGGCGAAGCCAAAATGGAATTGTTAAATCTGCGCGCGCACTTGCGTGCCTGTGTGAAAAGCACTGAGGGTTTGCATAATCGATCATTTGTCCCACTCTGATTGGCCTTCACACCTCTGATGGAATTTAGTCTCGCAACCGCTGTAATCTTGTGGCAGTAATTTTTTTTTCAACACATTTTAAAGTTAAATATGATGCAGTGACGTCGTTTGCACTCGCAATTTGCGGTCTGTCAGCTTAGTCACCTGGATTTTTACAGAATTATGCCAGTATTTCGCTCCTAGGGCCAGACGTTTTCAAAGCCGAGTGTGCATGGTTGGTTGCGAAATCGTCATGCACTTTTGTTCGTGTGATTTTCAGTTATTAACTCAGTTAAATTTTGGGTGAGTAGCAATTCCTGTGCACAAATATACCAAACCAACCTTCTACCAATCCAAATTTATTCCACTACCAAAGGCGGTTTTTTATGAAGCTAATTGTTATCCGGGAACAAGTCTTATAAATATGCCTAATCAAGTCTACTGAGCCCTGCAGCTTTGCACCTCAATTTATAGGTAATGCACACTATTAACTGGCTTTGATTAAAAGGGCCTTCATGGTCCTGAAGCTGTTATGTACTGCAACAATAATTTGTTACTTATTTTAATAGGTCTGTGAGTCGCAGAACTGCTTTATGGTCTACTTTTAGTATGCTATTTCATTAACCGATATCAATACACATAAGACACCAAAAACGTAAAGTGGTATTCCATGTAATGCTGGGACTTGTTTCTTTCTGCAGCTGCAGCCTCAACCGCTTCTGACTTCTACGCGAAGTTCCAACCCTCAGGAGCAATTGCGTCCGAAGCAAGGGGATGTTAAGTCGTCAGAGTCTGCCTCAAAAGAATGCAATTTGGGCAAGACTTGGAGCGACCTTGGTGCTTTTGACCTTAATCTTGACCTCAGATCTGACAAAGCTGGCCCTGCCAAACCGCTCGCCCCGAGTCTCAGCCAATTGCAAAGTCTCCAACGGCACCAGAACACCACTCAAGAAGCTGCTCACAAGCAAACCTTTGCAGGTAAGGACTTACTCATTATAGTAAAGCAAATTCAGCCAATGAAAAATCACATTTTTGCTACTATTCTGTGCCCCGTGATTCTCCCAAAGTTTGTTGTTCTCATTTTTAATAGATGAAACATTACTAATCAAGGTTTCGAAGTAAGGATGCTAACCATAAAGCCAGCGGAGTTCGAATACGTTTGAACGAAAGTACACGGTTAAGAGTAATTGGGAACTAAAATAGGTAACTGATTGGATGGGTCATTCGAATTCTCTAAAACACTAATTCGTGCAAGTTATTTTAGTGATAAACGAGGAACTTTAGAACTTTTATTTACGGCATGCCACTTCTTGATTCAGTCTTTGTTATTCTTAAAGATAGTCAACATAGCGGTGCAGTAAATACATGCCATCAATCTTCGGGACTTTGCGCTAGAAGCGCTGTATTTGATTCGTTTCGTTATTTTTTGGTTTATAGGTGCTCCAGCGACAACGAGGCCACCGAGCATCCAAATGGCCGAGAATTCCCAGGATTTTGCAATTTTCAATTAAACCTTCAGCTCTCGAGTACGACTTCCCAGTCTACATGATGGTCGTCAAGATGGTCTTTCAAAATAACCCTGTTCTGGTAATGCCCTATCCCTCAACCCAATGTGCCTTATTTATCAAATCACTGCTTTAGTGTGACCTTACTTTTTGTACTTGCTATGCTACATTCTTACCCACATTTAATTTTGTCAAGAATTTCGTGTCATTGTTCCACATTGGTTTCCAATTTGTGTTATAATTTGCTGTCGGCAGAATCAGACAAGGAAGATCAAACGTCAAAAATCCAAACTTCAAATAATCCCTCCAAGAATGACTGATAAAAAATAAAATAAAAAAGCCCAAGGTAGAAGTCCGAAAAAAAGGAGAAGAAATACAAGAAAAAACAACAAATAAAGGCAAAGAAAAGCTGGAAAAAAATTAACTGCAAAAAAAAAAAAAAGAAACAGAGCAAAAAAACAAAATTTAAAAAAAAAGCGTGACTTGGCGTCATGCATTACAAGTCTGCCCACAGTCACGCTGCATCTACTTGTAGGCCATTTAAGTAGAGACGCGATAATATGGTGAAATCGAGGATGACAC